GTGACTAACGGTATATTATAATTGATTACCTATTTTCGTAAACAAATAATTAAAGCTATGAGCAACCGTAAAACAGAAGATACTTATTGTTGATGATGAACCAGATATTTTAGAGTTAATAGAATATAACTTGAAAAAAGAAGGTTATCATAACGGGATATAAGGTACTGTCTTGTATAGAATAGGCGGGGAAAATCTATGATATGGGGAAGTGCAATTAGTGGGGGTGAATAAAACTTCATGCAGTGCAGGTTATTATTATATGCCATTATGCTTACGGAGCCCGTAGGCTATGAAGCAGTAAATACTATACATGCGGCACACCATGGTATGTTTCTGTGATACAAGCTCTTACAGTGCTCGGGTATGTTGTAGCCAGGCCCGTAGTGGCAAAGGAAAGTCATCTCTCTGCCTAAAGCCTAACAAACGGGGGGAATACAAAGCAGAAACCCAAAACCGCCCTGTTCCTCCTTTTAGTTGCCATTTACTGTACGCGTGCCAAGGTTGCAGCGCCCTAGCGCTGCAACCCCCGAAATTTTGCTGGCTCAGGGCCTGTTTGGCGGGAACGGAACCGTTCCGTTCCCCCATACAAATGATCGTTTCCTTCCGTTCTGAAGATGCCAAGACAACCATTTCCCCAGCAAAAATCATCAACGAACGGAACGGTCGACCCCCCTACCGTTCCCGCCAAACAGGCCCTCAGTTTTCGGGGGCACTCATCCTGACAGCTCAACATCACTTTGCAGCTCAACATCACTTTTGTGGCTCAATCTCACCTTTGTGGCTCAATCTTACCTGTAATTCTATGTGTTCCATACTTGTAATTCTAAGCATTGTATTTTGATAGTTTAGTATAATATATCTCTAATAAATACAAGATTATTTTCTATATGTTTACAGAAACTCTCTATCTATAAGACTACAATTTTTTCGCTATATACAAATTCCAAACTTCACAATATGCCACCTGCACCCTCTTTTACCCTACCCAGAAAAGAAAAGAAGAGATGGAGGTTGAAAAGGTAGAGAAACAACTACTATGAGTTCAAAATGCTCAAAAATGAGTTGAAAAGGCAGAGCGAAAACCACTACTAGATGAAATGAAGACATGTGTCAAACAAAGACACCTTGTGCAAGGATATAAAAGAATTATCCAAAATGATAATTGCAGGTATTCAGAAGCAAGTAAGGTTGAAAAAAAATTCCTGTATACTAGATTTTCAATTCTTTCTATTATATCAAACAAAAACAATTGGTAATGAACAATCATGTTACATGAAGCCACAAAAGTGATGTTGAGCCACAAAAATGATGCAAAGCCACAAAAGTGATGTTGAGCTGCAAAGTGATATTGAGCTGTCGGGCACTCAGGATGAGTGCCCTAGCACTGCAACCTTGACACGAGTAGTGAGCGCGCAAGTGGGTAGAACGCTCCTTGAAGGTTGCAAAATCGCAATTCTTACAGGTGTTAGTGGTGTGAAGGGGGGCTACGTCCTCGGTGGGGCGGTCGGGTTAGTCGCAGGTATCAAAGTATATTGGGTGCTCAAGGGGGAGAATGGCACAGTGTTGATTGCCAGTGCACCGGATAGAGTGATGGCTGAATACCAAACATCTGAAGCATGGCACGTCAGGACCAAAGCAGAGATAGCATGCAGCGCAGGTGCCAAGATGCTCGGGTGGTAGTGTATGGTGTCGCCATACAACCGGACATGTGGGGAAAGCGTATTTCACACAGACATGTTCGAACGAAGACCTTTTTGCCTTCTTTCTTTAATATTCACTTTGTCTTGATTTTCTGCCTGTCTGTTGGACTTTGCGCTGGTTACCTGTGGTATACTAGATGTAGAGAAAATAATAAGGAAAATAATATTTAGACTCCCTCCTTCCTCGACCCTAACAAAAGCTATACAGGAGAGGACAAGAAGAGAAGAAGAAACACCTCAGTGGTCAGAACCAACGACCCTCCCAACAATATTATAGCGTTTGGAGAAGAAGGTGTACCTGCGTAGCCGGAGCTAAATTAGCCATCTAGTGCTCGCGAGTTGACGTCGGGTGGCGGCGGGAATAGCATATGAATAAATCTTCCTTATTTAGAGAATACAGGCTTACCAGTCATTTAGCACTCTTTTCTCCTTGTCCCCAAGATCGTCCCACTTGGCAATGGCATCCTCGGGTTTGACGGATGACTTGGCCAGAGCACGGGAGGCATCCTTTCCCGCGAAGACTACGGCGAAGAAAAGAAACATTAGATCAATATCAGGCCGTTGCATAGCTTACGCGGAAACAGCCCAGGATACACACCATGATAGGAACCTCCAGGGCCATAAGAAGACCTGTTGTTCGACACGTCAAAGACGATGCCCTGTACTCATTTAGCTTCACTAGTTCTAGCCTACTAAGGGGTAGTAAATGAAGGAGATGATAGACCTTGATAGCGACATAGACCGGACGTCCTTCGGCGGACCCTACAATGCGTATACTTTAATAGGTTGTTCACAAGAGCAGACGTGCAGATTTGAATATCAAAGGTGATTTCAATTGTAACACATAAGCTTACCGTCAGCCTCCCCCAACTTTTCGACAGAGATGGGGTCGTCCTTGGGGGGACTGAGCTGAACGGGATCCTTTGGCTCAAAGTTTTTAAGCGCGGGAGCCGACATATTCGATCTGGTTAGAAATTTAACTGGCGCTTCAAGCAAGCAGTGGGAGAGGGTTTAATTGGGCTGGAGATTGCGAGGGTTCGTGTGCGAAATCAAAAGGGGCGTTGTTAGTGGGGGAAGGGGAAGATGGGGGGGAAGAGGGGGGTGGAACGAGGGTTGAATGGCCTGGGACAAGACTCGAATGGAGGGGCGGTTGCCAAGAACGACCGGGTTGCCCAGCATCCGGATTCGGTTCGTCGACGATCACTCGTTTACCGGCTGCGACGGAGCCGCAAAGAAAACCGGCGAGTGACCTACGGTATGACCTACGGTATGACCTACGGTATGACACGAATATATATCTACTCACACATCGTCAAAAAGGACGGAAAAAGTGATCAGCAGGGTTAGGTGGGTAGATGGAAGTGAAGCGACCATAGTTGAAAACAATCCATTCTTGGTGGACATCAGAAAACAGGATCAATAGTATCTAAGTACTGAAGGAGCATCAGTAAAAAAAAAAACAACAGTGATCATCCTGAAGTCCAGTTTGCATCCTGATCTTCCCATGCATCTGGTGCCTTGGGAATGCATCCCAAGGTCCTTGGAAAGAAGCAATTTTAGGTAGTCAAAATTGGTCAAAATGTATTATCTTAATAAAATAATACAGGAATTTTATATTACCTGTTAAAGTATCAACCACATTGGTTGAAAACTTACAGTGAGTTTTGAATTTTGAAATCCAACTTGCAAAAATTGTAGTAAAATTAATTGTACCACTTTATAGAAAATAATAGTCCATTTGCATAACTGTTTAGTGCAAACTATGTGTTTTCTGTATCTTGATACTGATACAAAGATTTTCCTATTTGGGTTATGAGACATACCAGATGTGCTCTAGATGCATTGTGGATCCCTTCTACTACAAACTTCAATTCTGGAGGCAAGCTATATTTTTTTTTACTGATGGGTTTAGTATTGTATTTAGTAGATTATAATAGTATTAGGAGTAAGTAGCTGATAAATGACAAGACTATAATATTAACAGATACTAAGAGTACTCAAAGATTTTTTCCTGGGGGTGGGAAAGGGGAGAATTGAATACACTTAAATATTTGTATAATATTATAAAGTTAAACAAGATAAATCTAACTACTCATATGGTAATAGCCCATTCCCCTTCTATTTTGCTTTGCTTATAGTCAGAAAAACTAAGCAAGATGTAAAAGCAAGTGGGATATAATAAACTTGACAGGTTTTTTATTTTTTTATTAGTTTATTAGTTTTTTAGCTCTATGTACATAAAATAAGTTATTAATAATCAACTTTTCATTCTCTATCATACAACTAATTTTATTCAATCTTCTTAACATTTGAAGTATATCGAATGCTGTTCACCAATGGTATCTGGAGTGGATAAGTCTAATATGAACGAACAATTAACCTGAGAACTAGAATGTTAGTGGCTTGCTAAAGAGTCAAATAAGACTACAAGTTGAGCTGTACAACTCTTTAAGGTAAGTACTTCTTCTATCTGATCCTACCAACAACATGATTGTAAGCAAGTATGAAATTCTTATAGAACATTCAACAGGTACAGGAGCAATAAACTCATCCTAACTGAGGTATTAGAGCAAGCGGTTTATGGCTACTGCTACTGCAAAAACTCTAATAGTTGGACGGTGTGCTAGAAGATTAAAATAAGGTTCAAAGCTAGAAGGAATAGAAATTAATGTCTCAGGATTGCTTTGAATAGTGAAAATATGGGGAATTAGAGACATAAAATCTCACTTGAAGTTAATTGCAACATCACCTGATTTTTGACATATGTAGAAAATATAAACAATATAAATACATGATAAATGATATATCAAGAAAGAGTCAAACAGATACAAAACAATTAATTAACAGCATGCTAGTACAATTTTGTAGCTGGATCTGTGTACATCCGGATATTCCTCCTCTCCCAGTAGACTAATTCTATACTGGCATAAAAAAAAAAAACTGAACCAAAGAGAAAGCCACTTACTGAAATTCTTCAAAAGATATCTAAAGTAGTCACAAACCCCTATTGTTCCTATACTGTCAGCTATAAGCTTCAAGGTCTCTCATCCTGGATAGGGACTCAAATACACTTTCGCCCAACAAAGGTATGCAAGCTGTGAAGAGGAGGTAGCCAATCACTTTAAAGTGCCAGCAGCCAATCTGTTGTATTGGAGAAAAGAGGAGAAAGAGGGGAAGTTTAAGGAGCAACAGGCAGGACAAAGACTTATATGAGGAGGTAGAAGAAAGTGCCAGTAGCCTGAAACAGAAAAAAAACTGTTTTAGAGATTCTGAGAGTAGCATGCTCTCCAAAGAGTAGTTTGGTGAGGATAGTTTAGAAGAGTTTGTAAAGAACTCTTCATTAAAAATTATCTAGAAGGGGACTTAGGAGAGTTTAACTTCTCTAATGGGTTGTTTCATGGATATCTAAGGTGGCATCAAATTAGTCTTTAGTTTGCTACCAATAAAGACAGTCAAGTCAGTTGCTGAAAGACTTGGGAGAGGCAATACTTTCCTGGTTTCAATTTAACTGTCCAAACTCACAGTACCAGCCAGGAGAATCAAGGGGGAGCAGTGCCCAGAAAGGGCTTCAGGCTGACCGATTCCAGTTCCAGGATAGATCTATAACACGAATCAGACACCAGTTCCATTGGAATACCTAAAGGGCCAAACTTACAATCAGCTTGATGAGCAGATAATCTGGATTCAATCCAGCTGGTCTGGCTGAGATAAGCAACAGGGGACTATACAACTTATAGTATTTGCCAATGGGATTCCTTGTGTCAAACCCTTTGTCTTTTTTTGAGGAATAGGTACTGGTATCACAAACTGTGACTAAGCAAGGCGGATTTCACATAGCTCAGAATTCTGAGCTTTAGGTATGTTGGAATTTTATATGACACATACTACTGCACCATAGATTATTATGTTTACCCATTCATGACTCACAGTTGTGAGTCACACGATGTTATGATTTTTACACATGACTCAAATTATGAGTCATGGGTTTCACTCAGGTGATGCAAGTTGTGCACGTGACTTGGTTATTATGTTTGGATTAGTTTTAGGTATGTTGTGCAGTGACTCATAGGAGTTGGCTGATGGGTTTCGCATGACTCATAGTTATGAGTCACAAGGTTTGTGTGATGTAAAAGTATGAGTCACGCCAGGTGAAGAGCTACTATATAAAGAATCACTAGGACCCCTAGTATTAGCTCTTTACATGTTCTTCTTGTTTATTTCCTACCTTTAAGTTTACCAATAAAACCTACCTTTACACTCTTTAAGATTTATCTTAAGAAATCCAAGAATTGTCTTTCCTCCCAAGAGAGGAAACTGTCTCTCTTCCCATATCGAATGAATAAGTCTCAAGCGAGGACTTAAGAAGACCAGAGGAATAGGCACGATAAGATAGAGGTTAAAGCACTTGACTATGGATATCGCGTGGGCATCGGTCAAAGAACTATTACCTTGCCCGAACATAAGAATCGTTACCTGTCGCACCTCTGTGCCCAGTAGGATTCTTGACATTAGAACATGTCTACAATGTGACACTTGATGATTATACTAAGGCCTCATTCAACTCAGATCTAGAAGGAGATTTGGACCGCCAAGATGAAGGTTTTGGACTAGAAGAGTTAGAACAAGTGATAAGTGAAGCAAGTCAACATTTGGCAGGGACCGCAAGTCCAGTCACATCTGAACGAGTCACCTTTCCGGACGCGGAAGAAGTACTGGAAACACTAAAACCTAAAAGAATGTCGGGACCAGCACCACCCCTAGGCCCACCTCCAGCAGGACCAGTACCTCCTCAGATGATTTCACAAAACGAAGTGGAACAGATGATACAAGAGGCTATAAGAGGAACAGGGCAATAACCCAAAGTCAAGACCCCACCATGATATGATGGGGAAAGAAGCAAGTTATGAGGATTTATGGTACAACTCTTGACCTACTTCGATGCAGTAGGATGGACACAAGAAAACGACCAAGACAAAATACGATATACTCTCACCCTACTCAAAGGAACAGCCCTAAAATAGGTAACCTCCATTGTAGTCAGTAATACTGCACCATGGATGGACTGGGTCAGCTTCAAGGCAGTATTTGAAGCCCAATTTACGGACATAGAATTAAGCCAATTGGCGTGAAACAAATTAGAAGAAATTCGCCAAGGAACAAAAAATATTACCGATTACTAGTACGTGTTCCGACTACTCCAGTACGATGCGGAGTGCAACGATGCCTCTGCTATGAGGTGGTTCATGAAAGGCTTGAGAAAAACCGATCAAGATGCATGGAGATACAGCGAGGAAAGATTCACCATGACCGAAGAGATAGCCCACTGGGCCATTTGAAAAGAAATCCAATTTGGACAACTAGACTGGATTCAAAGAAACCAGTCCAACACAACACAGAGCAACAATATGAACACAAGAAACTTAGGTGCGCTCAGGAACCAGAACAGAACCTATAGGACCACCACTCAAGGAGGCGACGCAATGGATCTAGACACAACCAGAAGGAGACCGTCACTGAACCTCGCAAAAGACGAATACCTTAGATGATGAAACAACAATCTATGCCTAAGATGTAGAATAGGAGGGCACATGATTAAGTATTGCAGACAACCTGCCAATCCCGCTCCAAATCAAGGAAGAAATCAGCAGAACACTAGGCAGAGCCCTAGATTCCAACTACGCAGCAACCTAAGGGAAATGGAAATCAAAGCTGAATATGAGACGGTGGCAATGAACGAAGGTTCCCAGCAATAGATCGTCTGTGGGACTCTCCAAAAGACAAATTCATCTTGATGGCCAACTACTACACTCTTGCAAGCACGAATATGAAGGATAATGATAATGATCATATCATGATTGAAACAAAAATATATAATGACAAGAAACAAGTAATGACAATACACACAATACTCGATTCAGGAGCCACGGAAGACTTTATCGACGACGAAGTCTGCAAGA